ATGTAAGTACTTTTCTGTATGAATACATACTTCAACAAATAAACTTTTAAAAATATCAAACACACCAAAAAAATAAGTAAAAAAATAAATGGTAAAAATGGCTTTGTGCTTTTAAATGGTAAGAGAGAGAGAGAAAGAGAGAGAGAGAGTTGAACCAAAGAAAATCTGAGGCTTCTTTGAGCTCCAAAATTCTATGCAGACCCATTGGATGTCATGCAGAGGCCACCTTATTAATTCAAACCTAGAGAAGAAATTCTCCTATGTATAGCATCATTTACCATTTGCAGGAAGGACTGAGCAGAACTCAAGCTGTTCAAGTTCTCTTCTCCTTGGCCAAGCACGACTTCATTGCAAAACTCTTGGGTGAGATTTTTTTTTAAATTTCCAAAGAGGTTTTAAAAACTTTTTGGACATTTATCTGTACTTGTATACCATATGGTTTGAATTTAGTAGGAAGAAGTCAAGAACAGACAGAATGAGCCACTTGTGCCAAGCACCCAGTGATTTAGAAAGTTTCCAGAAAATGGATGGTTCAAAAATGCCAAAAAAAAATAATAAAAATAAAATTAGGGGCACAATGGACATATCCAAGGAGGCAGAAGAGAAGGAATATTCTAAAAGTTCGGTGTATCAGATTTTGTTTTGCAAAATAAACTACCCCAAAACTCAGTGGCTTAAATCAACAACTAGTTATTTAGCTCACTATTCTGTGAGTCAGAAATTTTGGTCTGGGTACCTGAATAGTTTTACTGGTCTTGACTGGACTCTTATCTCCAGAGTTTGGCTGCAATAGGTCGTCCTGGCTTTACGGAGTCCTATAACAAGCCACAGCTCAGGATTGTGCACATGTGAGTGTCAAGAATCCAAGAGAGCAGGTGCTTCTCAAGTCTCATGGTTTCTGTCACTCCATTGGCCAAACAAATCATAGGGCCACTCTAGTTTCAAGGGGTGTAGAAAGCTCCTCTTCTTGATGGAAGAGTTTAACAGTTGCATACACTTGAAGAAATGGGGAGTAGAAGAGTTTGTGTTCAGTTTTACAATCTACCATACTTAGACACATGGGAATTAGTTTAAATTTGCTACAATTTCACTTTGGAAAGTGAAGACTAGAGGAGGTAGGAGATTGAAAGAAGTAGGAGGTTAGTAGAACACAACCATTGTTTCAAATATTTAAAGACATCTCATGGATAAGAAGAACGTATGTTCTACATGAGTTCAAGCAGAAGTATCATGGTTAATGGGCATGAACCACAGGAAAAAAGGAAGACACCTGCACCATCAGAGTTGCCCATAATAGGAGAGGATGAAGGGTGCAGGTATTTACTGAGCACCTATCATGAATCAGATAATATGACATTTTTCTATTTAATGCTCTCAGTAATGCGTTAACTCCCATGTTTCAGAGATGAGACTCAAAGTACGTGACTTTGATTAAGTTCACAGAGCCAAGAATTGACAGATATGGATTTGAACCCAAATCTCCTCAATACCAGAATCCATGCTGTTTTTATAATCTCGTGCTGCTTTAAGCTCCTTCGGTATGAAAGGAACAGAGATACACTTAGGTTCAGTGTGAAAATAGATGCTGTTGTAGGGGTGTACAGGGCAGTGCTGCCACTTGGGAAATGTCTCAGCAGCTCTTCACACCTCCTAACCTATCTCCTGCCTCTATTTTTAGCCCACTGGCTAGTTCCCTTTGCCCTTCCACCACCAGAAATCAGGGACATAAACTCCACTAAGGTATACTGCTTTATGGCTTGCAAATTGCACCAAGTTCAGCTACAAGGCTTGGCCTTTCTCTGAAATGTTGGCATTTTAAAGAATCTTTATTCTGGATTTCCAAGATGCCATAATGAGAGTTACCATTTTCTTAGCACTTCATATGCCATCTGATCCTCACCAAAACCCACTGTCACTACAATTATTACCTAAAAGGTCATAATTCAAATTCAAGCCTACCTAAAAAATCAAAATCATTAATGGTGATTAAACCTTCAGATTTATGTCTACTATAAAGAAAAAGTTTCAGAAAACATGTTTACATTTTTTATAAAAGAACTACTCAAAATACCACAAAACCAAAATCTAAAACATATGCATAGAAAAAGATCTGGAAGGATATAAAGTACTCAAGATGTTAAGAGTAGTTATATCTGTATGAGGGCGTAACTGGCAATTTTTCTATAATGAATATGTATTTCTTGTGTAATTCAAAACCTCGTATATATTACAAAATAAAAAATTTAAAAAAAACCAAAATCAATACTTTTCCTATCACACTGTGCTACCTCTTGAAGGAGTAGATATTGGGAACCTCCTAGGCTGTATGAAAGTGGGTGGTAGGGAGAATTTTTTTATTAAGGGGGCTTTCCTTGAATTATACCCCTTCCTACCAAAGCTGATGTTTGAGAAACTCTGGTCATTCACAAATGTATTAGACCTGATTGCTCACTCTTGCCATTAACTTTAAAGGTTTTAGAAGATTTTTTTAAATCCTCTTTATTATAGAAAATTTCCGACATATACAAAAGTAGAGCAAATAGCACAATGAACCCCCATGTAACCATCACCTGGCTTTAATCATTTTTAACATATGGTCAATCTTGCTTCTTGGCAGACTTTTAAGAGATAATTCCCAAACCTATGATTGCTAATGTGCTGGTTCTGTGTTCCCCAAATTAACAGCCAAGGAGAGTTGTAGCAGGAAGGCCCTCCTAGCATCATCTTGGATGAACCCCTCATTTCTAGGGAGGAAGGCTGTGGCCCAGAGACAGAGCTGGCTTTGCTCAAGGTCAAACTTTGAGGTGGTGGAAAAGGAAAGATTAGAACTAGAGCCTCTGTCTCTCTAGACCAGCCACCTCTGAGGAACCAGAGTGCTCATGTGATATCCCCACCCCAAGCAGCCACTGCCAACTCCAGAGGGGAAAGAGGAGGTCAGCAAGGATCAGACTTGGCCTCCATCCAGCAGGTGCAATGGACTTTGTCAGACATGCCCTCCCTGACCTGCCTGATCTTTCAAGGGTAATTAATCAGCCAAATGGGCCCCCTCTGCTGAGACCTGGTGCCCAAATAATCACTCACACCCCCAACTGCTGGTGACTAAATCACTCCCGTGAGGACCCACCCAGCCTCCAATGTCACATCCTGCATTAACTCAGCCTTCGTTATTTGAAAATGTGGTGTCTCAAAAAAATCACAGTTCTCTGAAGAGGAAACAGACTCTGCCCATTGGTTCCAATGGCGTGTTCCCTGGTGGGAAATAACCTGCTCCCTGGAGTAAGTGGAAGATAATAACGAGGGTGTTATATAGTGCTTGGACATGGTGTAGAATGAGCCGTCTCAAAGCAGGGACCCCTGGGGATACCTGATGCCTTGCTAGGGGGTCTTGGAAGCCATTGGATAAGCATCTTCTAGAGGAGAAATCCATTTTAACAATAACCACCAAATGTAGAGAGTTTCTAGAGCATGACCTGCATGGTGGGTGCTGTGCTGAGTGTGATTGACATGCACTGATTCATTTAATCCTCACCATTACCCAATGAGGTAAGTGCTATTGTCATTCCTATTGCGAAGAAACTGAAGCACAGAGAGATTATGTAACTTCTTGAAAGACACACAGCTATTAAGTGCAGAGGGTATTAATCAGAATAATAGGGCTTAAAATGCTGCATAAACTTTAGAAAGAAGTTATCACATGTGTAAGGTTATTAGTAAAGACAAAAATATGGGAAATGAGCAGGGATAAACATGAGGAAGTATGTATTCAAGCCTTCAACTCAGTGGTCCAGATGGAAGATGCCAAAGCAATTCAGGAAAGTAAAAAGAGCAATAAAACTTATGGGAGAGGACTTGAGGGTGGGACAGAATATTTGGAGAGTAAGTACATTTACAAGTAAGTACATTCTAAGCTCCTGTCACCCGATCTTAACAATAGCTCTTAATGAGGGCATTATCATAACCCCCATTTTACAGATCAAGAAACCAAGCTTCACAGGGGATCAGTGACCCGCCAAGCACCCACCCAGGCATCTGGACTGACTCCAAATCCTGAGCCTTTTGCAGTCTATCCCAGTGATACAGGAAAGTGGAGCTTCAAACTGGGGTCTGGCCTGAAGGCCAAGTAGGTTCTTGGCTTTGCGCAGGAAAGAATCCAAGAGCTGACAGAGTAAAGCAAAAGCAAGTTCATTGAAGTAACAAAGAAACAGAAGGAAGCCTTGTCCACAGGCAGAGCTGTGGCTCTCTCAGAGCAACAGAGAGTAGCACTTTGTAAGTTTTCAGGGTCTTATTCTATACTTTTTATTAATTTTATATTTAGTAGAGGGAGGATTGTTCAGAAGATTTTTGGGAAAGGGGTGGGGAGTTCCTGGAACCGAGGGTTCCTCTCCCTTTTAAACCATATAGGGTAATTTCCAGGAGTTGCCATGGCATTTGTAAACTGTCCTAGCGCTGGTAGAAGTTTCTTTTAACACGCTAATGCATTGTAACCAGCATATAATGAGCAGTGAGGATAACCTGAGGTCGTTTTTTCATGACCATCTTGGTTCTAGGTGGTTTGGGCTGGCTTCTCTACCCCCTCCTGTTTTATCAGAGACCTAGGTCTGTCTTATCAAGCATGGCCTGCCAATTCCCTGTCCTGCCAGCAGAGCTGATCTCTAATCTGAGGTTATGTTCCTGCTTCTCAACAGCGTATCTCAGCTCTGGCCCCATGGAAGCCCACAATGAATCCAGTGAACCGTGAATCCTGCATTGTTTGGGAGAGCCCTAGTTTATACTTGTTGTCTTAGTGTAATTAATAATAATGCCCAATTTAACTTCCAAAAATGTTGTTTGAATGAAAAATTATAAAGCCACATTAACTCTGAGCAACACTTTCCCAGTGCCTGTATTTGCAATGTGGAACAGTAAATCTCCGCAACCTCCCCCCCTCCCAGGAACATTGTTGGGGAGCTCTTACTCAGGGGCGAGAGCTACAGATGAGACTAAATTTAGGACAACATGTGTAGAGAAATTTTCTAGTTTATTCCACCCACTCTCACCTCCAGCCCCAGCTAACTGTGGTAGAAATGGCTGTTCTCTGGATGGAAGGTTCAGGAAGAAAGAAAACAAGAAAGGCAGAAAAGAGAAAAGCAGAATGAGCTGTTTGCCCTTCCCTGGATAGACACCTGAATTCATTACACATCTGGGAGTTAAGATCCTTGCAGCAAATCACCTGGCCCCTTCTCTATTACTAAGGTGACCCATATTCCTTCAACTTTTAGGCCATTTCACAAGCCACTGCCAACATCATTCTGAAAACCAATGGCAACTTTTCTGAAATGTCTTTCCCACCACCCATCCCTTTCCCAGGTGGACAGTGTTAAGAAAACTGGAGAAAGCAAACCAAAATGATTTTGAAGTCCCACGACAGCCATTATAAGAAACAAATCCTCATTTCTCAGGGCACGGGCTGGCAAAAGTCCAGTGCAATGGAGTGAAAGAGCCAAGGCTTGGAGCCAGGCAGACCTGGGGTTGAATCCCAGCCCTGTCCCAAGCCAGCAGTGTGCTCCAATATTATTTTTTTCTGCTCAAGGGAAGAAGACCAAATTGACCCCTGCTGAGAATGGAGGCTATGGCTGTAGGAGGTCTCATGCTCGAGTCTAGAGGTTTATCTGGTCAGAAGCTCAAATGGTCACTTAGTTCACCTCAGTAGCTTCATGAGGAATGAGCAGTGGTCAGTAATAATGTCTTCTCATTTAGAACTTGCAGACGGCATTACAGATTCAAAGTTCTCTGGTCCTGTGAGCAGAATTCAGACAACTCCTCTGTACCTGTTTATAGGAGAGAGACAGGAAGAAATCAATTACTTTTCTTTCTTCCTTCTTTGAGATATGCCAGGTGAGGTCCAAATTATGTTTAAATATGCCTAATAATGCAAGTTTTTGGAACCAGGTAGGATGGTACCCCAACAGGTGGCTGTGGACCAGCAGCTAATTATCTTAAGCTCTCTTTGTGTCAGTTTCCTTATCAATAAATTGGAGACAATGCCCACTTGATACAGGTGTTGTAAAACTTAGGTAATAGAGTGTTAGGATACAGTTGTTTCAATGATGTGGGCAGAGCAAACACAGGTGCTGCCCATCAAAACTCCCAGCAATCATCCACTCTTTGTCCCCTGCCATCCTCTGCCCTGAATGCTCAGAGCTACCTTGGGATCCTTCAGCTTGGATCCGCATGCTGCAGGGAGTTCTACCAATTGAACTTCATGTGAGCAGGAAATAAGTGTTCACTTGTGTTGAACCACTGAGATTTGGGAGTTTATTTACTCCCAAGTATGTGTCAGCTACTTCTATGAAACAAGCCACTTTTAGACTTAGTGACCTCTAAACTAAATGTTTGTGTTCCTTCAACATTCATATGCTGAAACATGATGATATTTGAAGGTGACACCTTTGGGAGTTAATTAGTTCATGAGAGTAGTCTCCTCATGATGGAATTAGTGCCCTTAAAGCAAGACACAGAAGAGAGTTTGCTTTCTGTCTCTGCTTCCTGCCATGGGAGGACAGAGCAACGAGGAAGCAAGCCAAGAAGATAGCCCTCACCAGAAGCTGACACCCTGATCTTGCACTTCTCAGTCCATAGAACTGTAAGAAAAAAAGTTCAAACAATATGTGGTTTAAGCCACCAAGCCTATGGTGTCTTGTTATAGAAAGCCAAAATGACTAGGACAGTGGCTTAAAATAACCACCATTGATTACAACCTACAAATCGATGAGCCACGTGAGCAGTTTTGCTTACCTTGACTTGGTATTATTTGACCTCAATTGGGCTTACTCAACCATCTGAGGTCATTGCTAGGCTGGCTGTGGGCTAGCTGGTCTACAACAGCTTGGCCAGGATTTGTCCACTCCCATGCTTCAGCAGATTGACCCACACTGGTGCTCATGACAGTGGCAAGAGTCCAAAAGACAAAGTGATGCATGCATGGCCTCATGATAGCTAGGGTTGGATTTGACCAGCGTCACTTCTGCCACACTCTATTGGCCAATGCAAGTCACAAGCCCAGCCATCTTCAAAGAGTGAGGAAAGAGAGTCCATTCTTTTTTCAAAAAAATGTCCTTTTTAAAAAAATTCAGAATATTATGGGGGTAACAATGCTTTGCATATATTGCCTTTGCACCGCCCAAGACAAAGCTACAAGCGTGCCCAACCCCCAGAAATAGCGAGCCACACCCATTAGGTCTAAATTTACCCATCGCCTCCTCCTCCCCCCTCCCACCGTGCCCGACGCCCTATAAATGTTACTTCCATATGTGCACATAAGTGTTGATCAATTAGTACCAATTCAATGGTGAGTACATGTGGTGAGAATTGGGATCATTTTTACAATCAACCACTACATAGCAGCTAGTGTTACAGTAACTAGTACTGTCACACACAGCTGGTGATGATGAGGCAGGATTCAACGCCAGACCTGACTCATTACAAAAGCAGAGCCTTTCGTGGATACTATGTTACTGCCTTAAGTAAGACAAAAATATATTTGATAAAGATTTAAAAAAAAAATCTTTATGCAAACTTCCTGAAGTGCACATGGATGGAAAATTTTTCCTCTTCTCCCTCATTATCCAAGGCTACTTCGCAGCTGCTGAAGAGGTGGAAATAGCTTTATTTTTCTACTTTCCATGTTTCATTCTTCAGACATGGAGTCCACTCCCTAATTAGTTCTAATTAGATGCATGTTTCATATAAGATCACAACAAACCCAAAAGATGAGTAATTTAAAAAGGATCCACGTGTGAGTTGCAAGAAAGCTGGCCTCGTGGTTACCTGGGGAATGGATGTTCTGTCTCCACCTGAGTTGTCTGGCAGCTGACTGAATTCCAAATGTGGGCCGTTCTTAAGAGAAAGGTGCAAACCTTCATGTCTTCAGGGGACCTCAGGCCTTTTCATAGAGGGGACTGTTATTTCCTTCACTTTCTTGGAGTTTGTCACCCAGGCTGGCTTTAAAAGAACCAGGTTTCTCCACTTTTCCAGCCAGATGGGCCTCTTCTGAAGCTTCAGGCACCCCTTAGAACTCTCACCTTTGCCCTTCCGAAGACTCACCATCAGAGAGCATCTGACTTAGAAGGGCCTGATAAATCATCTTGCCAAGTGCCACCATCTGATGGAAGGAGCGGTTGAAGGCAGAGGAAGAAAGGCTGCTTACGGAGGTTGTGCAGCTCGTGAGCAGCAGAGCTCAGACTGGAATCTGGATGGAGGAACCCTGGTACATAACGGAGGAGGCATGGTCTTTAGGTTCAGCCTAATCTAAATTCCATTCTCAGCTCTCCCAGTCACAGCTGTGTGACCTGAAGCAAGGACCCAACCTCTCTGTGCCTAAGTTTGACCATCCTTTAAAAAAGGCATAGTTTGCCTTCCCCTAGGGTCATTGTGGTATAGTGAGATAGCATGTACAAAGCACCAACCAGGCTTCCTGGCACACAGTAGGTGCTCAAGAGGAGATAATTATTGTACTCTTCCTGTAGCCAGAGCGGGAATGGAAGTAGTGGTGGGAAAAAGTCAGGAGCTGTGGTTATTGTCTAAGTAGTGATGTAGAAGGATGACTTTTCCTGAAATCCATGAGTCTCCTCTATCGAATGTGAGTTCCACAGAGAGCAGGATCTTGGTCTGTTTTGTTCGCTGCTATATTCTCAGAGCCTGAACACAGAGGACAATAATCATTTGTAGAATGACTAGACAGATTACTCTTAGGTCACTGGAGTAATGGATTATGCAAGTGTGATTCTTTCCTCTCCAGGTGTAGGTTAGAAGTTCAAAAGATATGCTATTGGTAAAGCTCGCCCTCCCTCCTCCATTAAATTAACACATAAGGAAGGCAGGCAGGCAGCTCAGAAGCTAAGCATAAGGGCCTAGGACCAGAGAGTCCTGGATGGGAACCCCAGCTCCATCATCCACGTGCAGCATGATCTTAAATGTGTTATCTAACCTCTTGGAGCCTCCATTTCCATTTGTATGATGAGAGTGATAAAATTCTCTTTCAAAGGGCTGGTGTGACAAAGGACAACAAGGATGCTCGTTTAGCTCAGCGCCTGACACAGAGTGGGGGCTCCAGCAACGGGAACTGCAACACAGAAAAATAAACACAACCCGTATCCTCATGTCCTTCTTGGTGGGAGGTGAGGCTGGCTTCTCTGCTAGGCATCCTTGGCAGGCTATGTTAAGAAAACAGGCCACAAATAGACCACAGGGACTCTCCAAGGGCCCCTGGCTCACTGTGTGTCCACCCAGCTCTGAGCCACAGAAACCTGGTCTGGTACAGACAGGCCAGTGGCCACAGGTATGTGCAAGCCAGGGAGGGGAAAGAGAAGAAAACTTATTGCAAATGGGCACCAATTCTGTGCCAGCCTCCTTCTTATGTACCGTTTCCCCCTGGAATGAAGGATGGAAGGAGCCCGCCATCGAGGACGCTTCCTCCTTTGCATTGGCTGACACGAGGCAAACAGCCCAAATCACCGCCTAACTTTAGTGACTACTCAAGATCCCTAGCTTTGCATATTGTGCTCTTTGTGCCTTTCAACCTTATCTCACTTCTTTATGTTTTCTCTTTCTGTTTTATTATATAAATTCTGATGGAGTAAGTCAAATACTTTGTGAAGCAAAAACAGATGTTACTCAATAATCTCATTATCTGTTCAACAACCCTAGAGAAAAGGCATCGTTGCATCCATTTCATATGTGCAGTAAGTAGTCTCAGTGGCCTGTCCAAGATCTCACAGGGATCATCAGTGACAGTGAAATTCAGATCCCTGTCAATCTGACCCCAAGACCTTCTCCTTTTCCACAGCACCAGGACCCTCTCACCTGGGTCTCGGGGTCCTCTACTCTCCTTGACCCTTGGCCTCCTCCTCCTCTCTCTATAAGAAACCACTTCTGAGCCTAGAACTGTCTCCTGGGGGTAAATTCTCAGCAAAGGAGCTATGTGGAGTCAAAGGCTGTGCACATATTTATAGCTCTTGCCCAAAGGCTGTGCAAAGGCAGGTCATCGTGCTCCTGAGGCCTGGGAAGGACGTGATCTGCAAGACCACAGAGCCCGTTAGTGCTGGGACCAGAACTGCAGCAGTGCCCCCGACTCAGAGCCTCCCGCTTTTTCTAAAACCCAGCGATGCCTCCCACATGCACAGGGTTAGAAAGACACTGGGGTAGCTCCCCTCCCTTTCCAGAAAACCTGCCACCGATGTGATGGCATTGTGTGCACTGGCAGCTGTCCTTCAGAGTGGCAGCATGAAGTATAAGGCAAGGAGCGACCACCAGCACATTGGCTGGAAAAGGCTTGTCACCTAACGTCTGGACCACACATGTGTCGGAGAAGTCGGGCTCTGGGACAATGAGCACGGGGATGGGGTAAAGTAGAGCCACCATGTCTCTTCCAAGGACTCTGCTTAACACTGAGCACAATAGTCCCCTCCAATAACAAGGCAAGTTATGCAGACAACAGGCACTAGATGTTTACACAGGCAACTGTGCCTGGACCCAGGCTTCTACATCCTCAGTCTGCTTTAACTTGGCTTGGCCCCAGGCACAGCTGTTGTGGGGATTAAATGAAATAACCCAGGTAAAATGCTGTCACCATGCCAAGCACATTACCAAGGTTAATAAATGGGATTTACACGTATTAATTGAATTTGTAGTGGTTTATAATTTACAATGGCTCTTCGTGTTTATGTCAGCTACAGTAGTTTCAATGAGGAACAGATCTTGATGGCCTAAAACTAATCCCAGATGGGGCATGAGAAAGAGGACACCAGCTTTCACTCTACTCTCTCTCCACCTCGGTTCTAGGGTGACCAGAGGACCTGTTTGTCAGGAGCAGACCTTGTTTGCCTGTTGTGTAGCTGCCCCTTTACTCCCATGGGTGCTCTGGTGGGTACGGCAAGCTCTATAGTCACCTTATTGATGGTGGCCCTATTTGCCTTCACAAATGTGTTTGCCTCAGACTCTGTTTTCTAAGAAACCCATGCTAAGACAAAGGTGAGTTCCAGTGAAAATCACATCACAGCCTTGGGTCACAGCAGGGCTGGGAAAGCCCAAATAATGATGATAGTTTGGCACACAGGGCAGGGATGCTGTCTGCTTCATTCTCGGATCTAACCTAAGCTTCTAGAACAGCGTCTGGGGACAGCAGCACTCAATCAATACTTGTAGAATGGACAAATTCATACTGTAAATTTTACAGGGATTTAGACTTAAAAAATGTTTCCACATACACGATGATCACATGATACCCAGAACACCCCTATGAAGGAGGAGTGACAGGCCTGGTGCCATTTTTTCATATGAAGAAAGTGAACCTCGGACGGCTAATCCAAGGTCCCACAACCAGCTAGCAACACAGCCTAAACTTGCAAACTTGAACAAAAGCCTTTGGAGTATCCTTTTGGAATATTTTTAATTCTACTAGTTATCAGGGTCTGAGAACAAGAAAGTATTTAGGAGAAATTCATTCAACAAAGCAGATATTAAAGATTGAGCAATTACTAGAGTCTGGAGTTGACAGAATGTTTGTAATCCCATTAGATGGAGAAGTTAGATCCTGCATCAGAGGGAGAGGTAATAACGTCACCCAGCGTCTGTGGTTCTGGGTCCAGAGAGGCTCTCCGCACTAAGGAAGAGGAGAATGTGAGACCACTGACGTAAGAGAGACACTTGAAAAGCAGGAGGAAGAGATGGTGAAGTTTATTAAGTTTACCAAGCACTCACATATTATCTCATTTAATGTTCGCAATCATCAAAGAAGCAAGAGTGTATTAGTTAGCTTTTGCTGCATAAAAAAAAATCATTCTAAAACTTAATGGCTTAAAAGCACCATCTATTTAGCTCATGATTCTGCAGAGTGGCAGTTTAGATTGGACTGAGCTGAGTGGCTCATCTGACTGTATTAAACTCACTCAATACCTAGTCTGGAAAGTCAGCTGAGGTGTAGCTGGTCAAGGGTAGCTCCATTGGGGGATAATTCACCTCCGCTCCACGTGGGCTTTCGTGCTCCAACAGTGTGGTTCGGGCTTAGTCTCACAGAGCAGGCGAGAGTCCAAGAGAGCTTGCAGAAGCATGCAAGGCTTCTTGAGTTTGAGGCTCCAAACTGGCACACTGTTAGTTCCACTGCATTCTATTAACAAAAGCAAGTCAAAAGGCCACTCCTACTCAGGGGATGGGGAAACAGACTCCAACTTTGAAGGGAAAAGTCACATAGTCAGATTTGGAAGAATATGAAGATGCGGAAGTGTGAACAATTGTGACTGTTTTGCATTCCAGCACAATGTCATTATCCTAGCTTTACAGCTGAGGAAATTAGAGCTCTCAGAGGTGAGTGATTTGCCCAAAGCCACAGAGCACAAAAGCAGAAGGGTTGGAACAGAAATCTGGGACTCTTCCTCCTAAATCCAGAGTAGCTAATATGGCAAAACATCCTGTTCAGCTCTGAGGAGGATCCCTAAGACCAAGATGGGTTCCTGCCCGAAGACATTCAAGATTGAGTAGAGGAGAAAAGTCAAGCAGAAAACTAAGGTCCATCGTGCTAAAGTAAAGGCCTGGAGTGAAACACCAACACTCACTGGGGTAGGAGGAGACAAAAGATTGCAAACAGCTCAGATCTATAACAGGAAATGGAGTGTCACACACTTAAAGTACCACATCCTCACAGAAGGCAGCTTTGTGCTTCAGCATCCAAGACTGCATTGTGGAGCAGCCTTAGCAAGTAGGAAGAAATAATGGGACAGAAAGAAGTCCCATCCTTAAAGTCGTGTGTGTCTTAACTCAAAGGGGCCCTGTGGAAACTGGACTGAAGTTGCTATTGTTGTTACGCTTGTTGCTGCGTGGTTTGGTTTTTCTTCTGGATTTTCTTTTGAGGCTCTCAAAATTGCCATTTTGAAGTTTAGAAGTGATTTCTGCCTTCCAGGTTGGGGAGATGTTTG